TCGAAAGTCCAACTGTTGCATTGTAAAAGTCGCGCGACAAATATTGTTTAATTTGAAAAATAAATCACCGATGGCACGTATATGAAATGTTTTATCACTACACAAGTTTCATTACCCACGCTTTTACGCCTCGACTATCAAAATTACGTATTACAGGACTAAATAGAATGCATGAATAGCAATAATAACGGTAAGATTTATAAAAATTGTCGACACCCTTACGAATAAGCATAGCATTTAAAGATATAGAGATTATAATGAGATAACTAAAATAAACTCCGCGGGAGAATATATCAAATATTATACGTATAAATTCGCGTCTACATTTATTAGAAATTTCTTCCGACAATGTTCTGGCAAAGCCACTGTCTGCGAATATGGCAGCAAGTAAAAACAAAATAACTTTAGCCTCGCAGAGGGCTTGCTTGCTTATGTTCTCTTATCCTGGGAACTAGGCACGACAACTCTAAGATAACGAATTACTTGAAGCCCTGTGTGAGAGCAGCCAGACTCTCTTTGATTATACACACGCGCGCACAAGCACGCAGACGCAAATAAATAAAGGCATGTGCGCAAGTATATATATATATATATATATATATGGGTATATGTAGTATGCGAGTATGAGCACAGCATGTTGTTGTGATAACGGGGAATATTATTATGTCCATTTGGCGAGGACTAAAGTAATATTTCAAGGTCGAATCTTTCTATCCGATAAAGTATATTGATAATAAATACAAAAGAGTATTCCTTTATAATTCACTCTTTTTATATAGTTTTTTTTTTTTTTTTTTTTCATGTGGATAGCTATCATTTTTTCTTACGTATGATGCAACTAAAAGGCTTTAATTTTCAAAAGTTCATTATACTCCACATTGCCTATTTTATTTCAACTGAATATATAAATAACGTTATAATAATAAATAGTTAAAGATTATAAAAAAAATTTACCCTACTTACAACACAATTGCTATAAATAGATGTGATTTGTGCTTGATCTTGAAATTTTGATTATTGAAGCATATCTTGAATGTTTTATTACAGCGATTTGTGTGTTATATTAATCTAATGACATGAATGTAGGCAAAACATTAATTAAGTTGCGAATTATTCTTTATAAATGAAATGAAATTTGTAAATGCTAATCTACGCACTCTAGATTGTAAATAATGATTTCGTAATGCTTCTTAATGAAAATGGCTTACCTTAAAATTAATCATAAGTTTGATATTTTATATTTTAAATGATACGGATTTAAAAGACTGCATTACAATTACTACATTTCCATCGGATAAGCCATTTTCTAGATGGAAGGCTTAAAATATCGATAGTATTACCTTAATCTATACACGTGTATGGCCATTAAATTTCCATTCTTGTCGCTAATCAAGATTATCGACGTGCATGTACTGGATATCTCGTCCCTTTTGTGTATTTAAATGTATGCATATATTTGTATATCAGCATTACAATATATACATTCGCCTGAATAAATGCAAGTATTACAATATTAGAGCTGCTCGAATAATCGAATTGAGCTAAGCGATGATTTTACATCACATTAAATATAATAAGCAAGGATATAAGAAATTGTTGGAGTTGAAAAAGTAAGTGAGCCACCGAGGGCTGCCTTTCAACGTAAACGAGACTCCTCTTATTTAATAAAATATTATATTATTGATTAATGAAATATCATTGGTTTTCAAAAATTATTCGAAGCTTTTGAAAAAATAAGAAGATAGAGAGAGAGAGAGAGAGAGAGAGAGAGAGAGAGAGAGAGACAAGAGAGGGAAAAGATAAAAAGGAAATGGAATGTTCAATGGAATAGACACTTAGGAATTGCTGTGAATGTTAATTCGTCTTGCCAATCCTTTATAATTTACTTTTAATTCGATAAATTTGTTAAGTAATCCAGAGTAATCCACATTTCCTACTAAATGTACAAATAGTCGTGGGGTAGGGGCCGGGGCGAGAGGGAGGGAACCCGTGTAAGCTCGTAACGTATCTCATGAATTAAAGACTCGCTCGTGCGAACGTGCTATCGGACCGCATTTCGACGCCTCTGTTCTAGTTACTACAATCCCAAACCACGCCAATGACTCGCTCAAGTTCTGTATTTTTGTCTTTCTATCCATCCTATACATCCCCCCTCCCACATTGTGGCCTTATGCACAGCTCGGTCTTGTCTGCAGATAAACGATAGAACGTTTGGTTAGGTAATCGGCTCGAAAAAAATCACTAGGCCTGGAAGTGCCGATAGATAGCGGGTGCCCGATTTTTTTTTTTTTCGCGTTCAAGTATACGTCGACAAAGCGATAAGATGGTGGTGGTGGTAGAACGAAGACGGGAAGGAGGATAGTGAGGAGGGTGAGAATGGCGAGGAGGAGGTGAGGAGGAGAATGGTGAGGAAGGAGGTAAAAAGAACGGAATCCTATTGGCAAAAATGGCTTTGTTTGCTCGTGCGCCTTCTCCCGATCCGATATCAGCGTCTCCTTTTCTCCTCGAGCCGGAGGTTAACTTGCATTTGTTTATTGCTGATCGAGTCAATGCGGAAACAGATATCGTCCGCCCGATACGGAAGAACGGTGGAACGGGATAATGGCCAAGTTGCCGAGGAAGGGACCGAGAGGAAATGAGGAAGATGAAAAGGTCGAGGATCTTCCCTACCCCAATGTCACCTTTGAAATGAAACCTGTCCCTTTCAGTGGTACCTCGCGCGCTCGTTGGCACAATCTGAGTACCATTGTGGTGTAGGGTAGGCAGCGGAAACGAGACGGAGAGAAGGTAATTCGTTGCTTGACAAACGTAGAGAAGAGCCGACGAAACTCTCGACCCTTACTTCTCTCTTGACCGGTGCTAGTGTCAGACGCGCTCGAGACTTAAAACTAATGATTTTTATGTATTTCATTGCTCGAGTAGCTGGCACATTACTCACTCCAAGGAAATTGCACAAGGGTCATTCCCTAATACTTTATTAATTAAGCATTTAGCCGAGACTTCTCTTTTTTATTATCTCATTTATTCTGTTGCGAAAGAAACAATGTTAATCGAATGCAAGATATAATGAATTGCATTCTTCTTTTAATACTCATACAATGAAATACGACGTTTCTTTTATTAATTTTAATTGGATATTTTTGTCTCGCAGAAAAGTCTTGTAGCGATTGCTGAAAAATTGTCTCGGCAATATGATTTTTAAGTAATAAAAAAAAAAACTTTTACATTATTAAAACTTTTACGTTGCTGTATTGGAAATTTTATTCTTCATGTACGACCATAGAATTTCAGTTAATAAATCGAATTCAGATCTACCAATTTAATATTTATTACCGAACTCTCTAGTCATTTCCTTAAGATAAAGTAATATATCAATAAAAAAAAAAAAAAAAAAAAAAAAAAAAAAAAAAACCCCCACACTGTCAATTATATTGTATTTTACGTACTTTACATGTTTTAAGATCCATTATTTTTCAGGATTTAATTAAAATATGGCGTTAACAAAAATCAATATAGAATGCGAATAGTACAATATATAAATGAGCATGTAAATCGAGAGATTAACAATGATAATAAACATAGAAAAACGAATAGTATTAGACGAGATAAGAAAAAACAATGCCTTAAGAATTTATGAAAAAAATGAAAAAAATTGGATAATGAGAAATTATTTTCATTATTTTTCAGGAACATTAATAAATTAATACGAAAATAAAATCTGCGAAAATATAAGAAAGATTTTTGACCCTTGGCATTTATTAATATTTCTATATGATTTAATAGTAATTGTGATACGTACGCATGATCATGTGCAAACTGATATGTTTAAACTGATACGAAGACAATATTAATGATTTTCCCTTTATAAGAAGAAAAATAATAATAATTGAAATACAATATAATCATTGAATTTAAATTTACGAAAAAACGAGTATTTACTGAAAATTCTATTTAATAAAGAGAAAAAAATTTTTTACTTAATATACAATATAAAAATACAAATGCAAAACTTTCATTTTCTTAATGAAAGCTTAAAATTAATTCAAATATGATTAATTTCTTCTAACATATATGCATAATTTTATAACGACAAATAAATTAGCAATAGTCATTGTAAAATAGTCATTATAAAAGTTGTATATTCATTATTTAAGATTATTTCAGACTAGCCAGTTTGAAAAATGATACTAATAAATTTAACGGCAACAGTAATTGGGTATTCTACATTATCCCAGAGGAACTTTGCAGACAGTAAAAGAATTTTTTGAAGATCCTCTACATCAACTTGCAGCTATCCGCAAATTTCGATTAGTTTAAAAAAATAATTATAAATATAATATTCATTGTGCATTCGTTAAATTAAAATACTTAATAGTTGTCATAGAGATTTTTCGATACTTATTATTATTGTTAAAGTATTTTTCGTGTCTTTTTTAATGTATTTAAAATATTAACTTAAAAAAAAAAATGCTTATATTTACAATATATTTGGGCACAACGTTTCATTAGTAATAATTTTTAAATCTATAATAATAAAGGAAAAATACAAAATATAATAGACGCATGTGCTTATAAATATTTATTACTTTAAGTGACCGAAAGCTATAAAATTTGACAGCCACATATTTCAGGCTCAAAGTATATTAGTTTGGATAAAATATTTATTTTATATATCCTTCAAACTTTATTATTATGGATTTGAATGTAATGGATGCATATCGGTATAAATAGCCATTTGACTATTGTGCTGATAGAAAGAGAAAGGGCGAACTCCCGCATGTTATAGAGCAAAACTTTCGTGAATTACACCATATATCTGTATTTATTGTAGCTAACAGAGGTGTCGGAAATAGTCGAACTTTAGTCTGAATGCCCATGGACGATAAGTCACGTTGAATTTGCCGGCTATGATGCAATGAAATATTGCAAACAATAATGAACCAGAAACTACTGCTGTAAAAGTCACAGCCTTATTTTTTTCTCTCTTATTTTTGTTGTAGTTTTATAACTGAACGCTTTGGAAGCTAAACAACAATGGCGACGGAAATCAGAGCCGGCAGACCTACGATGCCCACGATAACGCAATCGAAGAGACCAATATTTATTTACCCCACTGGTGAGCATATTTATCGAAGGGAATGTATTAATATAAAGGAACTATGGGATGCCATAAATAGTAATCCATATTTAGAGTTATCTAATGGCTAATCTAATTAAATATCTTCGGAAGAAAAAGTCGGTAAAATTTCATGAATAAAGATGTTTAGTAATAATTTATAACAATAAGTATGCTCGTCGACGTAATTTATAATTAAAGAAACGATAATGAAATCTTCATGATTATTAATGTATTACTACTACTTGAGAGAATGGATTGTAAAAATAAATCGCAATCCTAGTTAATCTAATATAATTTTTCTATATTATAATTGTAGAATATTGGATAAGACGTATAGCTAATTAGATAATTTATTGCAGTTGATTTTGAAATATTAATGAATTATAATAAAAATTGTTAAATGTCACTTGTAACAAATTAAATAGTCATTTTCAACACTATTTTCTCTTACTTTATCTCCCTAAAATAGTTAGATATTTTCCAATGAATTTTTATTAAAAAAATAATTCTACACAGAATTTATTCGATTTTAAAATATAATATATAAACGATTTATGTAAATAATAGGAAATTGTAAAACGGTATCATTAATAGATCGAAAATACGAATGACGCCATTCGTTATTCTGACATAATTTAGTATTTTCAATATAAAATTTTAATTAAAATCTATTCTTGTAAGTTCATAAATAAAATACACACCTGATATATTTAAAGTTCAAACAGTTCTTTGTGTAAAATTTATGAATTACATTTTAACATTATATTATAACATAACATGTAATTTAAAAGTTTTTTAATTATGACAAATCTAATTTAAAACAAAGATTTGAAAGTTAATATATAAAATACTACATATATATATATATATATATATATATACATATATATATATATATATACATATAATATTGATAAATACAAGTAATGAAAGAAAAGGTTTAAATTGCATTATTTTAACCTTCTTTTTTCGTAATCTGTTAAATGGAAATTCATCTGCAGATATATCAAGATTTTTATACATAAAGCATACAATGTAAAATGTTGAGTATCAATGAAGCTTTGCAGTTTATTATAAATTTATTACAAATTGCAAAGTCATTAAAAATTTTATCCATAACGTTGTTCTAAGTATGAATATTTGCTGATACAACTTTCGGGAATGACATCGGGAAAATCTATTTACAAATTATTTAAATTATTATTTATATACTACGTAGAAGTAAATATAGAAACATAATATGAAAATATCAAGCTCCTTTCAAAAATCATGTATGATACTAAAAAATGATAATTAGTTTTATAAAAATATTCTTATTTATTGAGTTTTTTTATAAAAACCATAGAAGCATTTAAATTTCTTTCAATAGTAAATTTTCTCTTCAATTTAGTTTATCAATTATAACATAAATTTTTCGAGTTTGTTAGAAGCATGTTCTTTTAATTTGCTTTATTTTGAAGGAAAAATATATTTTGCAATAAAAACCAATGGAAATGGTATGTATTCAACGTCATTTAAAAAAATAATATATATATATATATATATATATATATATATATATATATATATATATATGTATATAAATAAAATAGGAAACACGAAATTTGTTTCAAGGCATTATAAAATATTATATTTTAACGTAAATTGAAGTTTTAATTAAATTTAGTCGCATAAAGTATTAAATTGTATGTTTCTTCTTATCAATATTCTAGCTAATTTTAAATTACTCATAAATTTGGCTAAACTAAAAATATTTTGACTAGTCAATTAATTCTTGTGAGAAAGGGATGATAATTCTTACAAAAAGGAATTTAAGAGCCTTTTAAATGTACTACCTCTATGAAAATATAAAAAGATGTGCGAAACACATGAATTAATGGTTAGAATTAGAGTCGTTAGTCTCTAATTGCTTACCTTATAAGATATTACTAGAAAAAAGAAATGCATTTGGTTAGAGTAATTTTAAAATTGAATTGAATTTCGTTAATTAAACTTTAATTTTCAAAGGCCATTATTTTTCTAAGTACTTTACTATTTACTGTAGTTATTGGAAGAATTTGAAATTAAGTAAAAACTAAAAATTTGTAATTATATCGGTAGCTTTCGGAAAAATAACGTAATCTTCTTATAATGATTCGATAAACCGATTGCACGTATTTTCTACATATTTTGTTTTATTCAAATCCTAGGCTATGTAATTCTAAATTAATAACAATTAATTATAATATGTCCTTAGATTATATGAATATAAATTTGATAATAATCGGCTGTACAAATATGTATACGAAAATTCTAAGATTTTCAAATGACAGGAGAAATGCTACATCATTAATTTTAACTACGAGAAAATACTAGCCAAGTACGGATAAAAATTATTTTTCAGAGTTTAAATATAATATTTGACGTTACTATTTAATTTAACTTTAACTGTATCAATTAGGTCACTAAGCACTGTCTACGCCTATATATTTATTTATTATTGTTTATTAATATGGCGAAATTAATTGATGATTATGGTAAAAATGATAATGATGGTACTCAAGTTCACGATAGAAACGTGAATCTAAGGATATAAAAAAATATTTTCTATAAAAAGAATATCCAATAATAACGAAAATGGACAATAATTTCAGCCATATTACAATTATAAAACCAGAATGAAATATCGCCGTATAGATGATAAATGGTAAGAATATTAGTAGCTGCAACGACTATCCCTGGCTTTTATCAAGCCTTTCTTTACCGTAGGGGGCACGTGGCTTGAAGGAAAAAAACTAGGATGCAATAACTGCAAGGCTTCGTGTAAACGCCGCGGCGCGTGCATTAAGTTTATTTACGGGGATCCGCCTCCAAGTTGCGCATTAATGCTCGGTGTATCGTAAAGGTCTATCATAATGAATTCATAGGCGAACGCGAGTCGCAGCGCGTAAAAGACCCTGTAAAAGACAATATCCTTGAAAGGAAAGTCTGGTTGGGCTCGGTCAGTCCCGCGATGCCCGTTAAATCGAAAAGTACGGATTAATTTGAAACACCTGGGAGGGCTCATGTTCAAGGTCGCGGTGGGTGGACGGGACGCATGATGAGGACGGCGGCCTCCCCACGGCACTTAACGAAAGCCGTGGAAACCGTGGGTGGTGGGGGAAAGGGGATGGGCTCGTTATGGACACGCGATATTTTCTACGGAGGTCAATATCGTGGCGCCCTATTCAGGGACTCTAGACGAGTACCACCTTGACCCGCTAATTTCCCTTGCAGATGATGCGCGTGTGTACAGCCGCAGCGACCACCTTCTAAATAATCGAAATTCCGTCCAAACGCGACCTCGCCGCTCGTGAATAAAAAAAAAAACGTACTTGACGGGGGAGCCGATAAGAGCTTTCCCCTTGGCATTGTGTATGTGTGACGCGGGATCTGCACTTGACGACCGAATCACGGACCTCCCATCGGGTCCCTTTTTCTTCCGCTCGCACGTCTCGCGTTATGGATAAATGAATCATAACGAGTCACTTGCTCGTAGATTCATTAACGTGATGGATAATGTGGTAGTTTTTGCTTAGGTAGGAGACCCTTTCGAGTCCTGGCAGTCCTTTACCTTAGATGCCAAGTACGTGGGATTTCGCCAATGTCACACTTATTGCCGATCAAATCAAATTTTCCTCGCAAACTTGACCGAAGATCGCGCTAATTTGCATACGTACTTTGTTAATAGAATTTCGAGTTAGAAATAACATAGAAAGCAATAGCTCCGCGTGCCTTATCTGAGCGTACCAGTGACATTGCAGCACACGAGTTTCTCATAACTGATTGTTAATCGCTAGCTTAATATTTGCCGACACTAAAAGAAAAGCCGAGGCTTGTTAACGATTTAATTACATATAATTTCCATTTGCATTCAGCCCTGGAAAATGATTCTTCAAGTACACGAGCGTTATTGAGAGAATTCGCCTCCAAAGTTACTGCTAAAAGTTCGAGTAAAATTTATTTCTTTATTTAACTTGATGAGTAAATTTAGCACACAGCTAATTAAATAGAGTACACTTACGGATAAGAAGTTATTTTGCGAATCGATTCAAGACGTGTATTGTAATAAAATTTTTTCACATAGGTGTGCATAAGAAATTGAAACTTTTAATCGCTTACTCGAAAAATGCAAAAAAAAACACCGAAGGTAAGTACCACCAATATTGCATTCTTAGTGACATACGTCTGCAATTGCGATTTAATTTGTTGCGTATGTTATGCAAGAACATGTGTCTTATTTCATGCTCTGATTATGCTATGAGGACGACTCGAAGAAGAATAGAATGTGTATAGAGAGAGAGAGAGAGAGAGAGAGAGAGAGAGAGAGAGAGAGAGAGAGACTCCGACTATCGGCTCGAATCAAGCTTTTCAAGCGCGATTAAGTGCACAAGCTGAACGGCCATGTACACAGACGAATTGTATAACAAAATTAATTGTGAAAAGCTTTCAATTAATTAGAATATTTTCGTAATTAGCTTTCTCGAACGATTGGTATATTTCATGACGATTATGAAAACAAAGATTTGCATTTATCACGATAATAATAAAGGTTTATCAGTATATCACTTTTATCAATTTGGGCGTTTTATAATCATCCTGCAGTCATTTAGACATACACGTATTAAAATGCTTATTCAATGTATATAATTTATAAAATAATGCCTGAATTATGTTGTTTTTTGTTTAAGTTGTTGTTGTTGTTGTTGTTGTTGTTGTTGTTGTTTTAAACTTTCGTTTTATCTTACTTTTCAGATTACCTGAATTATTAATATTTATATTTTTGAAAGTGTCTTTTTAATTTTATTTCAATTAGTAATCAAACCTTTATGACTAAATCAACTTTGAGTAATTAATTCAGTAGCAGCATATATTATATTATTAACATACCGTCTTCGTACTTGTTACAAAATTTACAAGTATAACACGATCAATGTTCGTCAAATTAATTCAAAAGTATGTAAATATTAAATACAAGG